ATATGCAAAGGGATTTTCTATCTCTGCTCTTAGAATATAGATTAAATTTATTTATATATATATATATTTGCCATCTTGGACTAGTTTTTATCCTGGGAAAGAGATCTGAAACTTTTAATTTAACCATATTTTGAAAATTTAGAAGGTTTAGATCCAAATTTGAAATATAAACATAGCGAAGCACCTTATTTGTCTCTAGGTATTTTTTTTTTTCATGGTCAACATTCTAAATTAATTTTCTTCTATATCAACACTTTTTATAATTTAAAACTTGTAGAAAAAACGCTAAATTGCTAACAAAATCAAGGTGTAAATAGGGAGTTTAACAATTAATTTTTAGTGCAAATAAGGGTCTGACTATTAATTTTTGGGTTTTTATTAAGGGTGTTAATTAGAAGGAAAATTAGTTTAGGGTATTGTTTCTTCAAAAATCCTCTAGTAACCTCACACATACGAATGTGTCACTTACTTTACTAAAAGAAAAAACGATTTCCCCAACAATCTTTTTTTTTTCTCACGGTCGACCTTCTTGCAGATTGCAAGAAGAACATTGATTTTAATTAAAATTTGCGCTTACAGACGATTTATAAGAGGGAGGGATGCTTTCATGCTTAATGAGTTGCTAAATTTGCCTTAGAAAACTCTAAGAATTTAAACACTATTGTGAATCAAGGTTAATAAATCCTAATTAGACTAAATAACATGCAATTTAAAGTAAATTTATGAGAACAAGATGTACCCAAATTAAATTAAACATATTCATTGTCAAATTAGAATGCAATATATTGATAGATCTGGAAATTAAACTACTAGAGAAATAGAGATTTAACCCTAATTAACACTACAACAAACATGAACATGAATTAAACTAACATGCTTGAAATTGAGAAGAATCGTGAACATCATATAAGTAATCATTTGATAAAATGCTATTTATCAAAAATATTAAACTAATTACGGTCAGAAAAGGAACAGTATCTTGAAGATATTCCAGAACTAGATGTTCAATACATGAAATGAAATTACTGAAGCAAGTACTCGAACTAGTTTGACTATTAGAATGATGAAAAACAACCTAGGTCTACTAAAAATTGTGCTAAAATGCCAAAATCTGTAAGCAATTATAGAGAAAATGAAAGTCTAAAAATTTGCAGGTTTTGAATAGGGTTGGTCGTGTGTTCTGTCATCCAAAATTTCCCTTTTGTTCTCCTTTTTCGGCTATAACTCTCCACTTTTTGCAGTTTCAAAAATCATGGGCAGTTTCTTGATATAGTGGGACACCTCAACAGTTGATAGGGTTAGATTGCCTTCCAAATTTCATCACATGTTCTTTTTATCTGATAACCTATACTCATAATTGAAACCTACTCCTAAATTTCAATTAAAACAGACCCAATTTAACTCAAAAAGGTAATTAAAAGATAAAATATTATCTTTTTACCTCCTTCCTTCCAAAGTGGCAGCTTATTTGTTATGGGCCCAGAATTGCATGGCAAAATCTCCTCCATCTATTTAAAAATTTTTACACGTGGCATGATCCTAAATTTTTGTAATTTATGCTGTAAACAGGTATTGACCATGGGAAGAAAAAATGTATAGGGTATAAATAGGTGTTTGGCCATATAGACATTGAGTTTTAAGGTGCATTTGGAATTGTAATTTGGAGATTTTTTTTTTTTTTTTTTTGTAGTCATACAATGCTTTTAAATATATATGTGTTTAGTAATTTTTTGCAGATTACTTTTTCTAAAAATTATAGAAAATCACAACAAATTTATAGTAATTTTATATATAAAACCAAAAGTCTCATTTTGGAATTTTTTAACTGTGATTGTTATGGAAAATATTTAATATTTAATATAATTATAAAAATTATTCATTAAAACTCAATTTCATATAATTCAATTACATCATAATTTATAATATTTTAATAATTATATTAAATCTAAAAAACTTAAATTATTAACAAGTAAATATTTTTTGTTTTAATAATTATATATCTTACAATACTTTTAAAATTTTAATTAATAATTAATAAAATCTATCATATTTCATCAATAATACTTTTAAAAAATAAAAACCAAATATCAAAATAACTTTTAGTTACAGTTATAATATGATACAATTCAACACAATCACAATCACAGTTACATCTACAACACTTTATTATAAACCCAAATAGATAAAATACCCAAATCCACCCTCAAAGTATAGTGGCAGGAATGGATCCACCTCTGAACAAAAAATGGGATAAATCCACCCATAGAGCTTTCAACTTGAACAAATTATCTCAAATTTAACATGTGATGTCATTTGACGTCAACAATCCGTTAACAAGAAACTTATTAATGACATAACAGATTAATGAATTGTTGATGTCAGATGACGTCACATATTAAATTTGAGATAATTTGTCAAAATTGAAAACTTTGTAAATGAATTTGTTTCTATTTTTTGTTTGAAGGTGGATTTGGATATTCTGCGTTCCAAATGCACCCTTACTCAAATTACTCAAACTCATGCTATACCAAATTGAGTTAAGTTTTAACTAAAGTTAAGTTTAGCTCCAAAATTGATTATTATTTTATTAAGTCGAGCTTGAGTTAGCATATACTTAGCCTGATTAAATCTTTTTTAAAAAAATATCGATGATGAAATTGAGTTTTGGCAAACACATCAAAGTTTGATCAAACTTTAGCTTGAGCTTTATGTTCATTTGGTGAGGTGACATGGTAACCAGTTGTTCTTCCTGATTTTGGGATTGAATTATATCTCCGGGACCTTTTTCAAGTGCAATAAAGCATTCCATTTTCATCAAAAACATTAAACTTTAGACACAAAATACTCGCAATAGTTCTTCTGGGTTTCGTTTCCTCCAACCACTTATGTTACTAAAACGTGCAAGAACTGCCAACAGCACTGTAGGTTGACAGTTACATGACTCCATCTCTCAAACAAACCCTTATCTCACCAACGAAAGAAAAACGACAAGATTCAACTCAAAGGATAGAATCTTCATCAATCTTCACCATTATCTCGATCCATTATTATGGGAAACATAAACTTGTGTCCCAAATTAATCCCGACACGTTTCTCCCATTTCAAGTATATACACATTATAATATGAAGTTTGCTTAATTCTAGAAGAGGAAAATGGAAAGTTAGCATGAATTGTTATACTTTTCCTTACAAGTAAGCTTCTCCTTCGCTATATCACACATGTCAGCTTGACTACAAAACTTGGATCACATTCCATTATTTCTTTTGCTGGCATTTCCTGCAAAATCTCTAACTTCAACCCAAAGACGCTTTGAAGGCAGTCTTTTATTATAAAGAGTAACATATCAATCAAATAGATATTGATAAATTAAGAAAGCAAAGTAATTTTAACCCATAACTTCTCACCCAATCAATAACAGAAGTTTTTTTTATTTTTATTTTTTTATATAAAACATATTATATTTATATTATAATTTAATAACTAAACTAAATAAATATTGAAAAATATATTGAATCGAATGTGTATCGATTATTTTCCTTCTATATATTATGTATGATAAAGTGGTAAACCAATATTAAAATATGCATATTCCCTTTCTCACCAACTACTAGAAGCCAAATTCTGACTTAGAAGCTAAAGTTTCCCCAAAATAAGAAATTTTAAAGATTTGCTTACTCGTTACCATAAATTCATATTATATATAAAAAATAAAATAATTATGGATAAGAATACAGAAAAGATGCAGACAGTTTTGTAGTTTATTGGTTTCCTTTTTGCTTTTTTTAAAGGCCAGAGGAGTGAGGTTTGTTGGGTTTACATTTTCATCACATTTTTTTATTGGTAGGTCCTGAATTCCTTGTTATCAGTCTCTTTAATAATAACGTTACATAGGAGGCAACCATAGCTTCTAAAACAACCTCACCAGGCTGAGCAAGTCTTCAGTGCAATTGGGGGTAGCACGTCAGCAGCCCCCCCGTCCACTTAAATTATGCCTTATGGATTAAATTGCCATGTCAATTTGAACCAAACTAATTGAAGTTGTAAAGCCCATAACGGAGTAGCACCACTGATGTAGGTATAAAGTTTTTACGATAGCAAAGTTTTAAGTGTGTTACCTATACCAATGAATTAAGTAAATTTACTAGTTGTAAATTTTTGTAATAAAAAAATTAAAATTTAAGTTACATGATATATAAATAGAATAACTTAAAAAATAAAAAAATTATTTTTTATTATACAATTTAAAATAAAAAATAAAAATATGTGAATTCACACGTTCCGACTTAGTGACATTAACTCTGAGTTAATGAAATTATTTTAGTGTATTGCACTTTCAAACTTTACAAATTCTCTATTTTTTTTTTATCTCCTTATCCTCTTTTCGATTGTAATCATGTACAACAAATAAAAATAAATAAATAAATATGTGTTACTTATAATACCTCTAATTAGTATTAAAAGTACTTTTATTTTCACTGAATATTATCACTTAACCACTGAATCCACTCGTTTAATGGCAAGCTACCCTAAAATCTCCAAATGCCGTACTCAACCACGGCTATCAGTAGAGCACAAATTGTATCCATCGCTTTCTACACCACACCATCGGAAAAGGAGATAGATGTAGAGAAACTGAGAAAGAATGCCAAGTGATGACTGATGAGAGAGAAGAATTCTCAAGGCCTATGTTTTTGTGGCGCAAGAAAATTCTGCAATCTAATAGGTTTTTAATTATCTCGCTAATCACACAACGTTAAGGTTAACTCCATTAAAGGCTTTTTTTTTTTTTTTGGAAAAATTCCGTTGAAAGCTTTAGAACTCTAGTTTGTTTACTTCATATTGACATGGCAATTTTATCCACATGGCAAGATTTCAGTGGACGGGAGCACGGCTGATTTGGTGCTCCCGTTGCACTGAAGACTTTTTCCACCTGCAAGAGAAACACCAGATTCGTTTTTAGCCGTTGATTTTTTCTTCAGCCATCTTCTTAAACTTTACAAGTAACTAAGATAACCAACACTCTTTCCCTTATATATAACTCAAAGGCTACCTTCTTCATCACCTTATCATTCTTCAAAGGCTTCTCATTTCATGTGTAAAAAGCTTAACCCATGACTGTCATCCTCCTGATCCTTTTTCTAACAACTAGACTCTTCATCAATTCAGAATCTGTAAGCAGAGCTGATTTTCCGGATGGGTTCATATTTGGAACAGCTTCTTCAGCTTATCAGGTAATGTTACATATACTCTCTTTGGTTTTTAGATTGGATGGATGAATCATGATGGAGAAAGAAATGATTGCTTAATTGTGGGGAAACTTTGTGTTGGCCAGTTTGAAGGGGCTGCAAAGGAAGGAAACAAGGGAGCTAGCATATGGGATACCTTTACCAGACAGCCAGGTATGAGAAAATGGTTAAATAACAATTTGGTATTGAAGAACTACAAGAAAAAAATGATTATAACATTGCTAAATTCAGTCTGTGTTTAAACAGGAAGGATTTTGGACTTCAGCAATGCAGACACAACAGTTGATCAATATCATCGGTTTGAGGTGAACAAGAACTACACATATTAACAGACTTTGCAACATGGATCAATAATGTTGTGTTCTAGCCTTCCCTCCCCTCCCATTCGCTCACCCCCTCATTGACTTTCCCAAGTTCTTTGTTGATTTTTTTTTTTACCTTGACTTCTTTCACCTTTCGTGACTTTCGCAAACATCTCATTTCAACTATTCTATTATATTTCCTCTCTCTAAAAATTATATTTCAGAAGTCAACAAGCTATGCAGAATCCATTTCATATAAGAAATATATCTTTTATATAATCATTCCTGACAAAGATAGCACCAATTTACAATAACAAGAATATTGGACGATCTTGATGTATCACCAACAATAATAACAGAATAGGAATAAATACATATTCATGAGGAATTCAAAGAAGACTTTACATATAGTAAAAACACATCATAAGTCAAAACACAGTTAGTTTATTGTCATTTACTAGCCACAAGTCTGATAAAAACATAACGTTGGCAGAGTGATATAGACTTGATGAAGGACTTGGGGATGGATGCTTACAGATTTTCAATCTCTTGGTCAAGAATATTTCCAAGTAGGTTCCAATCCGTTCAATACTTCAGATTTCCTATTGTTCTCCATCATGATATGATCATCACTAATTGCTTTTAGAATTTACCATTGACAGATGGGACAGGGGAACCCAATCCAGAAGGAATAAACTACTACAACAGAGTAATTGATACTTTACTATACAAAGGTTAACTAGCAGAAAAAAAGTTAAAAGAGTTTCGAGTTTTTCGCAATATTTATACCATTATTGAACCTTTAGCTGTTCTTTTCCATCAGGAATCCAGCCCTTTGTAACTCTGTATCATTGGGATCTTCCACAGATGCTGGAAGATAAATATGAAGGATGGTTGAGTAGGCAAATAGTGTAAGTGCTGTCAAATTTTTACATCTGACCGTTAAGATAATGAATCCGGCATTATAAAAGGCATGAAATTAATTACAGTGAAGACTTTGCGCATTTTGCATTTACCTGCTTCCAAGCTTTTGGAGATAGAGTGAAGCACTGGATCACCTTCAATGAGCCTCATGGTTTCTCTCTCCAAGGATATGACTTGGGAATTCAGGCACCTGGAAGGTGCTCGATTCTAGATGGTATACTTTGTAAGACAGGAAATTCATCCACAGAACCTTACATTGTAGCACACAACATCCTATTGTCTCATGCTGCTGCTTATCACACCTACCAGCTAAATTTCAAGGTAATTGTTCTGTTCAATGTTCACAATTAAATTCTACAACCAGATACCATTAGAAGTTGAGTAATGATAGCCAGGACAAAAATTTAGGATGAAATTTTGGGACTAATGACTGATTTATACCACATTATTAAATTAATTGAAGCATACAATATCATGGGTCTTAAAAAAACAAAAAGAACCCATCATTAAATAATATATGATCTACCTTTTAATATTTTAAATGATGTGACTTATGCCATATCATTGGTGTAAAATTTTGGTCTCATTTATCATTATTCCTAAAAGTTTCCTTCTTGGAGGTCATTTTTCTTTTCTTATGACTTCGGGGTTTCCAGGAAAAGCAAGGAGGTCAAATTGGATTAGCACTAGATGCCATATGGCATGAACCAATATCTAAGAGTGATGAAGACATAGATGCAGCACATAGAGCAATGGATTTTGGAATTGGATGGTAATATATATCTTACCCTAATGCTTAATTCTTGCTACATATTCAGGATTTAGGAATAAGTAAAATCAAATGTATCAACCAACTTAACATGGGAAAATTGCATCAGGTTTCTTGATCCACTGTTCTTTGGTGACTATCCTCATTCTATGAAAAAGTTTGTGGGTGAGAGACTGCCTCTAATCTCGCCAGAGACGTCCAAAATGCTACTGGGTTCCCTAGATTTCATTGGCATAAATCATTACACCACTTTATATGCCAGAAATGACAGAACTCGTATTCGGAAACTAATACTTCATGATGCTGCATCTGATGTTGCTGTAATCACTCCCTGTAAGTGGCCATAAGATATTCTTTCCCCTAAAGAATATCTGCAGTTAATTAGCACAAACTAATGACTTTTGCAAATCTATTGTAGCATCTCGCAATGGAGTTCCTATTGGAGAAAGGGTATGCCCGACGACTGGAATTAGTAGTACCTAAGATTAGTTATAAGTTTCATCTAAAAGTGTCAGCTGACAAGTACTTTCTTGTCCAGGCAGCTTCCCTCTGGCTACACATTGTCCCATGGGGCATCAGGAAGTTGGCAAAATACATTAAAGACAAGTATGGGAATCCTCCAGTAATTATAACAGAAAATGGTGAGTACATTAAGTTTCAGAATCTTAAATCTTGATGAACTAGTATTATCATTTGTCACGCGATTTAAATTCATGCAGGTATAGATGAGCTAAACAGGCCATTTATACCTATGAAAAAGGCTTTGCAAGATGACAAGAGAATAGAATATCACAGGGATTATCTCTCAAACCTATCTGCTGCTATAAGGTAATGAAAATCTGTGAATTCATATGTTTCAGAAACAAATGGTCTGATTTGAGGCATTGGACTCTACTTTGTCTAAGCTGACAGAAACCCTGAACTTAACACAGGCAAGACAACTGCAATGTAAAAGGATATTTTGTGTGGTCTTTGCTAGACAACTGGGAATGGAACTACGGCTATACTGTCCGATTTGGACTCTATTATGTGGACTACAAAAATAACCTCACAAGGATTCCAAAATCTTCTGTTCAATGGTTCAAAGGTGCACTCAGATGAAGAAGTAAAGAAAGCAATTTGACATCAGCAGGCTAGAGTTAGCACCAAATATTTGAATCTGCAACAAATATTGCAGAGAGCATTAAAAAAAAAAAAAAAAAAAAACTCTCTCCTCTCTTTGATGGTACGAGTTCACTTCATCACAAGGAAGGTGATACCAATATGAGATGTCAACTAAACAAGAAATCATATATTTAATGTACAAACAGATTCTTTGTAGCATAATTTTTTCTAGGAAGCTATGATTGATCGCTTGTTTTGAAGAAAAAAAAGGTTGTAAAGGAAACTGGAATAGCATACCTTGAATTCCTCACGGAGGCTTGGCGTTTGGAATTAGCACCGTAAGGCCTGCTGTTTTAGAAGAGACAGTGCATCTGTTTATACTCGACTCGACAGCAAAGTTAGTTTCAAATTATGTAGAAAATATCTGACCTGTATTAGATCATATCTAAGTACCAATGGTAGTCAAAAACGATAAACATCTCAAATTATTCACTTTTCAACATCATCTTTCTTTCCCTAGAATCTAAACCAAAAAGACATCGAGAACTTGTAAGATCAGCTAATTTAGAAAGCAATTATCGCTTCAGCAACACGACTGCAATGGCCATTACAGCCAGAGAAACAAAGCATGTACGCTTATCAATGTTGAAGATTGATACAGCGCCTTCATTTTCATTTTCATTTTCATTTTCAGCTGCAGAAAAACCAAAAATTTCCTGAATATAATCAGACACGCTGTTCACCATCTCAGCAACAGTAGTCTTGATCTTCTGCATCAAATCCGATATTGAAATTTCGTCACTTCCATCCAAAAAATGTTCGTACATCCTTGGAGATTCAGGGCTTCTTGGGGATCCTTGATATTCATAATCAACATCTGCCACATATAATTTAGTTTAGCTCCATATATGAAAGTCGAAAAACACAAGAAATTGCAAGTGATGTGAAGAACTGCATAAAATCCTTACCATCCTCCTGAGACTGCAGGAATTCAGTCAGCGCATCATTTTGAAGAACAGCATTCCACACATTTGGATCACTAGCAATGGAAGCAACAACAGACTGCACCGAAAAAGTCATAAACTAATATGCATGATGCTTTACACAAATTGAAAACACAGTTTTATTTAACCGTAAACTAGTTTTAATACCCAAAAGTCTAAAACGATTGAGTAAAAACTGAAAGGGTAGGCAAATCGGGGACCTGTGCTGCAGGACTTTCACTGAGCAACGTGAAGGCCTGGAAAGCATCCTTTGGTTTGGAATCAAACCTAACACAACTTTTAGTCTCTAGATGTTCAGCGCTAGAAAGCAATTGCAGGCCGGACGCCTGATTAGCTGCATAACAACTACTGGCCCTTGGAGATGACAGAAAAGACCTGTATGTACAAAATATAAAAGAAGGCAAAATATAAAAAAGTAACAACCTTTACAAATTTATTATAAGTTTTTCTAATCTTTATTTTTAATTGCATATTTTTTCCATTAATTTGTATAAAAATACTTAAAAATTAACATTCTAAACCCAACGAGTGTCATGAGTAATTTTATTTAGAAAGTTGATAAAATTAAAAAATTTAAAAATTTTTTTCTATAACAATTATTGAGAAAAATTGCAAATTAATGCACCCTTTAATTTTATATGATATGGAGTTGCAGAAAATCAAGCCATATAAAATGTCGAAAATTACAAAAAAAAAAGAAAAGAAAAAAAACTTATCAACAATGATTCAACACTTTTCATAGAGAATTTGAAAAGCACTGAGTTTCACTTTTCACTTTTATACTAAAGGAGTAATTTTTTTTGAAAAAAAGAAAAAGTTTGAAGACGTAATTGAAAAATCAAAGAAACTAAGCATACATACTCCAGTGCATCTTTCAAATCATTAGTGGCTTCCTTAGCCTCCTCCAGGGTCGGAACACCGCCAAAAATGAGACGACCAATTGGCTCGCCACCGCCTACCATCAACTCCTCCTCGAGGAAGTCCCAATCATCATCCATGATCTCAGAAGATACCTGCTGGACAGGCTGCACGTCGACCGATATTCTGGCCTGCGACGCCGCGGTTGGCGAAACAGGACGCTTTGCACATCGGACCACGGACTGCTCTCCCGGCTGTACCACATTAATACCAGCTCGTCGTCCGTGACTCACCACTCCGATTCCAGCGACTTTGGCCGCCGCTCTCATGACTCCTCCTCCGCCCATGGTCGAGAAGCTGAGAATTTGGATTCGTTTCTTAGGATAATACAGAGAACTCGTATGGCGGTGACACCGCTATTTATATTATCCTATTATTTACTTGTGAAATACGATTTTCCTTTTCCATTTTAATTGTTTATGTCTATAAAATCAACTTAAATTTCAAGGAAATTACATATGGTAACTAAAAAAAATATTTTATTTAATTTTGATAAATGCTAGCGAGATTTTAGTATTACAACTTCCTTACCAAGTAATTGATCACGATAACAAGTGTATCACATGCCCACGTTAAGTTTTTACAGGTAAAGTATGTGTTTGATATAATTGTTAAAATTTAATAGATAGTAGGTGATAGATAACAAGTAACGAATAATGAATAATAGATGTTAATAATGGATAGTGACATTTCTAGAAAGTTGACTATTTCAGTTAGAAAATTTTGGTCAAGTAATTTTTTTAAGGAAAAAGACATATAATTCGGACAAATTGAATGATCGAATATCATATTTGTCCGCAAAAAATAAAAAAAAGGTATATAGTTCAGTCCAATTTTACTTTGGTTAAGCCACTTGACAGAAATAATTTGGTGCCAATTGGTGCCAAGACAAATCGGTCAAGTGGCTTGACCGAATTATGAAGTAATAGTTTATTCGGTCAAGCCACTTGACCAAATAAAAATAGGAAAAAATATATTATTATTTTATTTTTAAAAATAGCATAAAATATTATTAATTCAGTTAATAAAATTGACCGAAATAAAATTCTGAACCAATTTGACATGTCAAGTCACAATTCTAAACTTGAAAGAAGCATGGAAAATGAGCAAATGAGATTTCTTGCATGTTTCGGTCAGTGTGTCTGACCGAACCAAGCATGGCAGATCTGAATCAGATTTGCCATGCTTCTTTCAATTTTAGCTGAGCATGGCAAATCTGATTAATTTATTTAAAATTATAAATAATTATAATTGCTTGATTAGTAAATCATAATTATAAATTTAATTGTTAAGTGAGTTATATGGTTAATTAAATTAATTAATTAATTAAATCAATTAACTGATTATAAAATTTTGATTATATTATTTAATTGAATGGTAAATAATGATCATACTAATTAATTGATTGATTTATAAATTATGATTATTAAAGTAGATGTATGATTTTTTGTGTGCGGAGATGAATTTTTTTAATATAAATTTAAAGAATTATTTCATATAATGGGAGATCGAGATTATCATTATTAAAGTTGATCTTTATATCAAAAACAACTTCTACTAGTATATATGAATTGACATGTATGAGATTAGGATATAGTGCTTTAATTAGTATTTTAGGTCACAACACTTTAATTATAATATTAGGTTATGTTTTTATATTTATGTGTTTCTAGATAAAATTTTTAATTATATGTTTTAATATATGTTTAAAACATATTGCTAATTAATTGGTAAAATTTTTATATTATATTACTTATAAATTTTA